AAGTTATTTACTTCTGTCAGCTCAGTGTTTATAGTGTGTCTGTAGGAAGGGTGTTAGTGTCACTCAGCTGCGTGTTGCCATGCATGTTAATTCCAGTATGATAAACACACACACACACACACACACACACACACACACACACACACACACACACGCACACGCACACAAAGTAAAGAGATTAATGTCACTTCAGCTACGCCAACTGGCCATGAACTGGTCTGAGGGTCATCTCTCTCAAGTTAAGAGAGAGAGAGAGAGCACATTACCTTTACGCTGCACCTGATAATACACCGTCATTTTGTACTCTCTCCACTGTACTTTCTTTTCCTTACCCCACACTTTCACTCAAAACTTATTCTACCTTCTCGAGTTAGTTCCCACCCATCGGAACTACTTTCTCTCCGTGTTTCCTTTACATTCATCCTACTTAATTTCACCTTATATTGATGAACTTTCACTCTAAGATTTAAACATATTGAAAACATTTGTATTCGGTCCCACTATCATCTACACTACTTTCTTTACTTTCACTCAGTCGAAATTTCCTTCTAGACTATCCTTGAATCTCCGTTTACTTTCTTTACTTTCACTGAGCTCAACTTTCACTCGGAGGGATGCTGGGGCCGGAGACGAGGTCATTAATCTCAGGAGTAACTTTTACCAGGGCCAGTATGATGCCGTATTAGTTTTGTGAGTTAGGTATAAGACTCGTGTGGGTACTTGTAAACGACTTGTAATTTGGTTTAATCATATTTGCGGTTTTTCTTGTTGTTTTATAGGTTTAAGATAACTTGTTTTAGGTAAGATAACGTGTTTTATAGGTGTAATATATGGTGTTTTAGGGGTGTAAGATATGGTGTTTTAAGGGTGAAGATATGGTGTTTTAAAGGGTGTAATATATGAATTGTTTTAGGGTGAAGATATGGTGTTTTGGGGGTAAAGATAACCCACACCACCACCATGCCACGCACCACCACCACCACCACCACCATCACCACCACCACCACCACCACCTGCACCACCACCACCACCCACACACACCACCTAGGAAGCCCCCCATACACAGCCAACAGTCGCCCCGGGTAACTCCACTTGTCTTAACTTCTTAATTTCATCTGACATGTTGTCTTTTTTTCAGAGTCGTTTCTTATCCAGGGGCACCTAGTTTTTATACGTCTGTCTGTGTCTGTCTGTCTTTCTCCATGTATGTATGTATGTATGTATGTATGTATGTATGTATGTATGTATGTATGTGAATAACATGGCAATAATAGCAATAGCAATAACTGTCTTATGTATGTATGTATGTATGTATGTATGTATAACGTAACATGTATGTATGTATGTATATATGTATGTATGTATGTATGTATGTATATATATATGTATATATGTATATATATATAGCATATATGTATGTATATATGTATGTATATATGTATGTATACATGCATATATGTATATATATATCAGTAGTGATATACTCGCAATTCAAAAAACTTATAAGTAAGTAAAGTAGTAGCAAATAGCAACCCTTAAAGTATTTCATCCCTAATAGTTTAGCTAGTATCCAATTAAATCTATATTTAAAAGGGCACATATAATATTTTCTATTGACAGAGATTGAAGTCACTGACCTTACCACTGACAGGAATTAGTCACTGACCTTACCACTGACAGGGTTGAGTCACTGACCTGCGGCAGGGTTGAGTCACTGACCTTACCACTGACGGGGTTGAGTCACTGACCTTACCACTGACGGGGTTGAGTCACTGACCTTACCACTGACGGGGTTGAGTCACTGACCTTACCACTGACGGGGTTGAGTCACTGACCTTACCACTGACGGGGTTGAGTCACTGACCTTACCACTGACGGGGGTTGAGTCACTTGGTTGTGTTGGGAAGGTTCCGTTCTGTTGTGTGTGTTTCCCACCTTATACCGAGTAGAATAAATCCTAACCTAACCTAACCCAACCCAACCCAACCCAAACCCAACCCAACCCAACCCAACCCAACCCAACCCAACCTAACCCAACCCAACCCAACCCAACCTAACCCAACTAGCAATATGTAACTGAACGAAGTATACTGA